ATTATCAAAGTACCGAACGCGAATCATATGAGCGTGATGAAAACTAGCTTGACGATATTCCCATGTGTCCTCGGGAGCGCTTTTCTTATCATAAGAGTTTTTCCGGGCTTGTCCTTTGCTACAAAAAGGATTGGGACACCTTGCTGCACTTTATTTACTTTTGTTACTTGTTGCTCGTTACAATTTATCTTATCACAAAACTATCTGTTACCACTTATTTCAGTACTTGCAGAGAATACCTTGCTGAAAACCGCTTATCATTTCCTTCTGCTCCTCGTTGGGTTCGACACTCTTACTTATCAAAAGGACTACGATAGATCCCCTATACTTGTGGGTCATCAATGACCCGGCGGCGGTTCAGGGCAAGCAACATCAGTTCGAGAACTAGGTCAAGGGGATTCGCTCCCTGGTACTCGAGACATAAGTAATCCGACCTCAAACTGGATTAAGCCATTACGTTCACTGCAAGGGGCCAAACCAGTATAAACTCCCGTGTCCTTTGTCCCGTTTTAACCCCTTTAACCTTCCTAGTTGCGATGGCTCCACGACTAAGTCCTTTCACTACGACATATGCCATGACAATTCCACGATAGTGAGGTTGGAAGCGGCGGTCCCAAAGTCCTCGTTAAGACCGGCAGTGAGGGTGCTGATGAGGAGCTCATCGCCAACCGTCTCGCCGAGATCGCGGAGCTCATCGGCAAGATTTTTGAGGCGCATGCAAAAAATCATCGATAGACGAGTCAAGCTGCCGGCACCCATAAAAATCGTCGTGGAGGAGGACCTTGCACTGCAGCTTGTTGTCAGTGAAGAGGCTGTTGAGCTTGGTCCAGACAGCGTAGGCGTCATCGTCATCATCCACCACCATGTGGAAGAGGTCCTTGGAGATGGTGAGGTAGAACCAATGTATGATGGTGGCATCGAGGATCATCCACTCCTCATCGTGGATCATGAGGCTAGAGTCCACGGTGCCATCCACGTGGCCGTGGAGCAGGTACTCGCGAAACACCAAGGAGAAATACCGCTTCCAAGCGGAATAGGACCCGATGGATTGATCAAGAACCACCAGAACACGCTCGTGGATGTTCAGATCGCGAACGAGGGTGACATCTGGACCGGCAAAGGGGTTGGAGACAAT